GAGAGAAAATGTTTTGAGAATGATGTACAAATGCACTTTACACAATTGATGTGTGTATGGATTGCGATAACGGTTGTATGAGCCCCTAATAAAATGTTTTTTAAAAAAAGATAGTTAAGAAAAAAAAAAAGATAGTTAAGGCTGGCAAGAGATTTAAATAATGAGTAAATTAACATGACAGCTGACCACTGACATTCAAATTACCCCTCCCTCTTCCTTCCTGATACCCCAAGTAAAAGAATACCACTGTAATACATTAAACTAACAATTTTCATTTCCATTCTACCTAACCTACAAAATTTCTATCTAATCAGACTACAAAATGGTCCTCAATTTCAGAAAGAACATCAAGTTTAGAAAAAGCTATCATTTCAGAGACTTCTGTAGATCTCACGACAGAGGCTATTGAGTGACAATCTAGTCTTATCTAATCTCAAAGGTATTACTTATTATTTATCAAAGACAGTCTAAATTTGGCATATCATGAGAAAGTACCAGTGCTTTTCAATTATTATCTAGATGTTTCATTATTACACACTTCAATGTAAGGAAAATAAAACCCTCAGAATGGAACCAATAAATTGAGATAAGATTTATGTTGTCTAAGCAGCAGCAGTCAAAAAATCAAATTCATTGCACTGGGTAAGTCTGCAGCAAAAGACCTCTTTATAATGTTAAAGAGCAAAGATATTACTTTGAATACACCATGAGCTGGCAGAAGAATGAATAAATCTTGGAAGAAGTACAATGAAGCTTCAAAAAGTTCATGGGAATTATACAGTCATCATTGCTCTCAGTGTCCTACCCCTGCCCCTCCTTGTATCCTGTGGGAATCATTACTGCAGTTGCTGTTTCTGTAGGGTCATGTATCCTGGCATTCCTGCATCAAATGATCTTACCTATATGCCTGAAAGTACATAACAGTATTAATGAGGTGAAACATAAGCCTTATTATTAAGGGGAGGAAATATTAAAGAACCAGAGGATAGTTATGAGTTTCATTAGGGCTACACTGCAGCCTGAATTTCTCATCCTTGCCCCACCCCCGCCCCCACATGGCCCCCTCTGTAAGGGCCTGTCCAATTGTCTTGCAGGTGGGTTTGGGGTCTCCACTTTGTCCACGCTCTTTCACATCCATTTGATTGCTTGCTTTTGAACTTCTGATCCCTGATCCCATCGCCACCTCATGATCACACAGGCTGGTATACTTTTTCCATGTTAGCTTGGTTGCTTCTCTGCTCAAAGGCCACTTGTTTGAATACAAGCCTTTAAGATCCCAGACACGATATTTTTAAAAGCCAGGAACCATACTTGCTTATGCACCCATTTTATCTTCAACAATCGTGTGGGGAAGACTATCATACAGTGCCACATTATTAGAACAAACTGTTCTTGTACTGAAGTGATATTTTAGTAGAGGCTCAAAGTCCCATCTGCTTCCTTATCGAATTTACATATATGCACATGTATAACCAAACACACCTATATTTATATAATTATATATTTACATAATTACATATCTATATTTATACATATACCATACATACTTGAGTATAAGCGTACCCAAATATCAGTCGAGCACCTAATTTTACCGTAAAACCTGCATTAAAAAATGTGCTGAAATTGAAGACGATGACCTCAATTAGAGCAGCCAGTCCACAGAGAGGACCACATGGCCA